GAGAGCCTACCATATGTATTTTGAAACTATCTGAAATACTCATGGATGGCTCTTCCTCTCCTCCAGTTTTTCAGTTCTTCTCTGTTAGGCTTTGCGCTTCTCAGAAATTCAGTTCATGCTTTTTACTAATTTTCTTCTGGTAGCAAGAGCCTAGCTTTGTATAACACCAGTTAATCAGGATATAACATTTTTATTGGAATACATTCACTGGTTTGATTTCAGCACAATATTTAGAGCATGGCTGGAAAACAAATATTAACTAACTGAAATGTTTATTGCTTAATATCACCAAGATCAATAATACTTAATGAAAAACTGAAAGAACAGTTGCCATAATGTTTCTCACATGGCAAATCAAAAATAACCTCCACATGCAAGTAAAAATGGCATGCCAGTCCAAAAGGTACAAAAGCAAGGGCATTTACAAAAATCAAACACAGGCACCTTAAAGCAAAGGTAACAACTAAAGGTTCCATTCCTATGTAGCTGGATGTGAGTCACAACTAGCCACACAGGAAAGACAGATGTGTTCTCTCCTTGTCACAGCTCAGAGAACGTAAATGAAGAAAATGTAGGTACGTCAAGACGGGTTGTGTTTCCTGGATGTGAATGAGAGGGAAGTCTATTGTGACACGATACCAAGTAAGAAGGAAGAACTACTTTAATGCCTACTGTGAGCCAGGCCCAGTGCTGGATGCTGTGAGGCAGGCAAGGAAGATCCACATGAATGGTGCTGTTTATACTAACCAGGTTGCTTAACCTCTCTGAGCCTTAATTTCTGATCTGTCAAAAAAAGATTATAATCTTGTAAAGCGACTGTGAAGAAGAAGAGGGCAATCATGTAAAGCTCTTAAACAAGTGATCAGCTCACAGTAGGAGCTGTACTTGGTACAGTGATGATGACAAGGATGGTGGCAGCATCAGCGACAAAGGCAATGGAAGTCTTTGCCCTCAGAGAGCTGACAACAGGGATGTCAAATAGACCGCATATGTGTTTGCCATTCCACAGTCACGCTGAGCTTGCCAGGGCTCTTTCCTGCAGCCTGTAAACGTGGCCTCTGAGCCCTTCTCAGCAAAGCTTCCAGGAACCAACAAAGTAAAATTTTCACAAAAGATGACACCTATCTGCTATCCTGAGTTTGGACTACGGTTGTGAAGATACAACTGAGAGTTCCAGTTCTCCAAGACCCCCTATGTGTCAAGCACCCTTCCAGATATTTTACACGCATTATCTCATCGAGTCCTCTCACAACAACCCTGTGACGCAGGCACTATGATTAGCCCCGCTTTCCAGAGGAGAAGGCATGGCATATGCACAGTAAAAGTGAAGCGGCAACAGCTTACAGTATTACTAGAGTCACAAGGCAGTTTTAATCGTATGTCAAATTAGTGGTCTAAGTGTTCCTTGGTATAAACTCATACTATGAATATATTGTATATTAGATATAATTAAATAATTTATGAATAAAGGAATGGATGAATAAATAAGTGGAGGAAGAAAAACTCTCATTTATACTAGAACTTTTTGCTTCATATACAGTAACTGTCATAATGATGTTTGATTCAAACAAGAATCATCAATTGATGCTAAAAACATTGGGCAATGTTTGTTGAGGGAAGATACTTACATCGCCTCCAAGTATCTACCAAGAACTTAATTATTAATTACAAAGTGAAAATAGGTGTTTTTACTGAGGAGAAACTGGGTGAGCCCCTCTTAATCAAGGGTTCAAAATTAGTATCACCAATAATGGGACAAACTGACATCATAGGTCTCCCATTAAGATACGCCAAGAACACATGACCTATGCAGCATTCCTGCCAAACTACAGAACTTCAAACAAGGCAAGAGGGAGGAAAAATCAGATAACCCAAAATGAGTGACATTCTACAAAACTGTCCTGCACTCACGTCAAAATTTAAAAGACAAAGGCACACTAGAATCTAAAAAGAAATTGAACTCATTAAAAAAAAAAGACAAAGGCAGAGAAACTATTACAGATTAAAGCAGACTAAACAGATATATCAACTAAATGCAATATGTCATTCTCGACTGGATCCTGGGCTAGGAAAAAATTGCCATAAAAAGCCATCACTGAGACAACTGGCAAAATTCAAATATAGACTATATAACAGGTAATAGTATTGTATCAACGATAAATTTTCTGAATTTGATAGCTGCATTACGGTTGCACTCTTGGAAGATGCTAAAGTATTTACGGATAAAGTACACAGCATCAGTAATTTACTTTCATGGCTGGTAAAAAATAATACAATATGTGTGAACACATATAAATCAATAATATAGAGAAAGCAAACTTGCAAAATGTTAATAGTGGTGATTCTAGCGGAAGGATATGCCAGAGGCCATGGTATTACGCTTATAGTTTTTCCCTAGCCGTGGAAGTTTTTAAAATATAAAGTTTTAAAGATCTAATGAGATTTTAAATGCCATTTTTCTATTTTCCTAAATCAAAAAAGTAATACATACTCATGAAAGCAGAGGAAAGTAATACATACTCACTAAGCTAGAGGTCTACAAATAAAGTGAAAATAAAGGTTTCCTCTATCTTCTCACATAAGCAAAGTTAAAGAGTTTGGTGTATATTTTCTCCACCTTTCACTAAGTTCAAAAAGCACATATTTAATCAGATATCAGGTCATTCTTAAAGAGCTACATGAGTGAGCTACAAACATATTATTAAATGTTCCATTGCTTCTAACACTCATTGACAAAAATGACCAAGTGACATAGGACTGAATCTATAAAGTGAAAAAAATCCAGAGCTTATTACCTTTATCTTATCACTTAGAAAACACCTAGCCAGCAAGCCAATATGTAGTTCATAAAGTCTAACAAAAACGTACAGAAGAAACACAGATTTCCTTTCCAACAATTGCCAACTCCTAGCCAAAATTGTTTACATCTTAAACTCCTGTTGATTCAGTAAGTACGGGGCTGCTTCGCAGTAATTTACCACGTCTCTTTATCACTGACAATCACGGACTAAATCAAGCCCCAAAGCAGAAACTGAGCTTCTGTTTTTCCGACTTACATGTGTATGAGTTATGCTCCTGCATTTTACTGTAATCAACTTAATTTCTGAATGATAACCCCTCAGGTAAACATCTACAAGAGGAGGACTTGGCAGTTTCCAATTCCTGCTTTCACTCCTGCGCTGTCCTGTGTCACTTTCCTGCTCTCTTAGACAGTAAAAGATGTATTACGTATGGGTGGGGGGTGGGGTGAATGGGTTGCAATTATTGTTTTCCTATCAAAATCTGTTTTATGTCTCATAAAGTCTTACTCACATCCAACAATAATATAAGAATATATTGGTTGTACTGAAGTTGCATGACCTAATTTAGCTCAGAAATATTAGCATATTTTGAATATAAATTTGATGGAACTGGTTTATTTCCTATTCTTACCTGGTCAATTAGAAGTTTCAGAGTTAAAAACTAAAGAACAGAGGGTCTGATGTGGATTTCACTTGCCCCTCTCGGGTAGCTTAATACATTTCTCAAAGCTCTATTTCCCAATCTATAAAATGGGTCCAATAATTCTTGCCTATAAAGGACTTAGGAGTTCGCTACATGAAAGGAGCTGGGTTCAGTCCAGAGTAAGAAATGGTTTTATTATTTGGCTACTATTAAAAATTTTGTTGACAAAGAAATGAGGAGGAGGAAACTTTCTCTACATAGTACCTTCTGTTTTGCACACACATTGGCTTTAAAAGTTATCACTTCTTAATGCTTTCCACAAGTTACAGATACCCCAAGGCAGTAAAAAAAAAAGCTATCTTGTTTTTACCGTTCCAAGGAAGATTAGCCCTGAGCTAACATCCGTGCCCATCTTCCTCTACTTTATATGTGGGATGCCTGCCACAGCATGGCTTGACAAGTGGTATGTGAGTCTGCACCAGGGATCTGAACCCATGAACCCTGGGCTGCTGAAGTGGAGTGTGGGAACTTAACCACTGGGCCGGCTCGGCAGAGCTATCTTAGTCCTTCAACCTGGCTTCAACAACTGCAAACACAGCTGGTGATCACACAATCACAAGCACTGCTGGGAGGCAACGCCACAACGTGCTGCCACTCGGGTTTCCTTCTCCAACCAATTGCTACAGTTCACTGGCAGCAGTTAATGAAAAAAATCAAATCATTCAGGGAGATTAAAAGATATTTATGGAAAAGTTCACTTTAAAGACATATTGAAAAGAACAGTAATTAGGCAAAACAGGCCATAAATACAAATGACCAAAACAAGCTCCAGCGGGCAGCTATTAAAAGTGGCCAACGCCACTGAGCCCTGCAGGTCAGCCCCACAATCAGCTTCACTCTCCAGGGGCCAAAGTGAATGTGGGGACACGCTGTCTCACCTTCCTAAGGGAGATGAAGGGCCAGTGTGTGCGTTTTGAGCTCAGCAAGGACCAGCACCAATCCCAGACTCTGAAAACCAAGCAGGGCAGCTCTCTGTCCAGTGTCTGTGAATCCTTCATTCAACAAAGTCCTGCACTTCTGGCTTCAAGTAGAGGTGAAATCCAAGAAGGTGGTATTGCTTATATTTCGGTAGAAAAGTAATGTTTTTCTATTTTTTAAAAGACAACTCTTGATGACCACAAATTCACAGGCAGAAAATGCAAAGGGGGTGAAAATGTCACACTTTACTCTTTACTGACCCCTCTTGGCTGACCTGGGGGAGAGAAAAGTCTGGAGCCTGCGAAGGTCTGAAAGCTCACCTCCCTTCCAGGAGAGCTCAGAGAACATTAGGTCGTTCACACCATGGAAAGAAATCCTCTCAGTTCAGATGACCCCTAGTAAAACTCAACCCTAAACCACACGTGACAATGATTTCTATTTATGGGGTTCCCAGAATGGAAATTGGGAAACGGCCCCAGAGGCCTTGCTAGGTTTCTGGCAGCCTGTGACCTCCGACTCTAGGTTGAAAAGCTCACAGAAGTGCTATCGTGATTTCTTACAGCAGGAAAAGACCTTACCTCTTTCTCTATTTTGAGTAGCTTCTTTACAGCCACCTCCTTGTCCTGTGATATCCATTTGGCTCGATACACACTCCCAAAACTTCCTCCACCGCAGTTTTCAAAAAACTGCAAGTCATCAAATTTAATTTGCACAAAGGAGGTACCGAGAGACGACATCTCATAATGACAAAGTATTATACTCCCACAAAATCTGCAGAGAGAAAGAAAAAGGAAAGTTTGATTATAAACATATTAGAATGAATCCTCTGAATCTGACTTTAGAGAATGTGTAACAAGTCCTGTGAAACTTCCAGAAAGAACCTTGATGACTTAGGAGCAAGAAAAGCAGGACTATAAACAAATCAAAATGAAAACACTTACTCTGGCAGCCCGTGCAAAATTGAGCAGCAACTTGTCCAGACTTTGAAAGGCAGCTGTCCACAGAGAAATGGCTCGGGTTTCCCCCGGACAAACCTGTAGCAGCACTTCCTGCACATCCAGCGGAGCTCTGCCTAAAGGCTACTGTGTCACCAGGTCTGCTATCACAAAGCCCTGACAAACGGGAAGCGTGCTTTCAACAGCAAGCTTGCATAGCTCTTCTGGCATCTGAGGCACGCCATCTCTCCATGTTGTGCTCACTTCACACAAAATATACATAACCTAAGCAACTGAGCATCCTGGCACGAGGAGAGCCAAAATGCTGCAAACTGAACACGCGTTCAGTGTTTAGATTCCAAAAGCAAACGTTCAGCCCGAGGATGACAGAAACAGGCCGACCGTTTTCCAGAAGTGGCTCCCTGGACTGCATACTGTGGCAGAACTTAATTAAAGAGTAGAAAATTTGCCCTTGATTACAATATATTAAGTCATTCAAAGAACTCTGCCAAGAATGTTAGAAAAAATATTATGCTTGTTTCCAGAGGAACAGATTACCCCTCCCAGAGATTATTATAGTGATATTTTTTGCAGTCTAAGGAGTTTTAATATTCTCCAGGTAAGTGGTCATTCTTCAAACCCCATGCCAAACCATGGAATAGCAGGAAAAACAAAACAAAAACAAACAAGAAGACAAAGGACTAAAATTTTGAACTGCATAAAAAGCAGGTGGATAAAAAGGTTTGTATACGTTTTCTTGCCAAAATTGTAAGCCAGAATCTTATAAGGAGGGAACAAAAAGGCAAATCCATATGCATAGGACATTCTACAAAACAACTGGCCCAGGCTCCTCATAATTGTCAATGTCACAAAAAACTGAAAAAAAAAAAAAAAAACAGGGAAAATTCTAGCATAAGGAGGCTTTAAAGAAATAGGATGACTAAATGTAATGCACGATCATTGACTGGATTCTGGATCAAAAACAAATCTATAGAAGGTATTGCTGGGATTTCAGGGAAATCTGAATATTAACTATATATTAGATAATATTATTTTATCCATGGCAAATAATGGTATTTTGGTTTTGTAGGAGGATGTCCTTGTTCTTGGGAGATATATTGGGAGATGTATTAAGGTATGATTATCCACAACTTAATTTAAAATGGTTCAATTCCCCACCCCCCTCCCAAAAACAGGAGTAGGTATAGAGAGAGAGAAAGCAAATGTGGCAAAATGTTAGGAACTGGCCAATGTAGGTGAAAGTTACATGGGTGTTTCACTACTCTTTCCATTTTTCTGTGGGGCTGGATTATTTTCAAAATAAAAAGGTGGAGAGGCAGTTTGTATCTACCTAAATTGACAAAATTTCCTCATCAACAACTTGAAGCTTTGCTGAGTGATGTACACAGTCAGCTCAGAGATCTTAATGTGCAGCTACAAGGAATCCCATTTCAGGAACAGGAGGTCACTGAAGAATGCTGATTTCTTACGCGAAGTCAAACTCTGCTCTACTTGGGGAGAAGGCAAGAGAGACGATTGTTTGTTTATCCTCTAAAGTTTAGAGTCTACATAAAAATACAGGGGGGAAACTCTAGTATCCAGGCACAGGCTACACACATATTTGAGTCAACAATCTACCTTACTAACTTTTGCTTCAATTTATATTCAGTTAATCATGGAAAAGAAGACAGGTTGGCTAAAACTTACAAAAGTGCCAAAGGTTGGTACATAGAATATGCAAGCTAAAAAGTTTGCTCAACAAAATGCAAAACACCACTTGCAAGATTCCCTCAGGGATACAGGTGCTAGGTCTATATTTTTATTAATCCTTTTTATTTTTATCAAGGCACAAAAAATAAAATAGGACTACAAAGCTTATAATAAAAGATAGAACTTCCCTGCTCCCGCCCCCCTCCTCACACCCAATTCTCTTTCCAGAGGGAACTAATTTCAACTCCTCTAGCATTTCTTCCGGTATTTATTTCCATATTTCTAAAAAATGTGTTTATATGGCTATTTCTTGATGGCTCCATTTTAGATATTATCTGTTAACTTCTCCCTGTGGAAGATAAAGATTTAATTCTCATATACCACCCTTTACCTCCTTGCCCACAAACATGTCACACTTGCTCAATCCTCCCAACTTCCAACTATATCGTAACATTTGGTTAAGTCAATATTCAGGGCTTACAGTAGTCTGACAAAATAAATTTTATTCCCAGGGGTGCTGTGTTCAATGGCTTTTTCCTTTCTTGGATAACTTTTTGTTTCTCCTACAGTTAGTAGTTGCTCTGCTGTTGTTTTCTTGTTTGCTTAGCTTTTTATACACCTAACACTTATTCACCTCATCAAACTCTTCCAAGAACTGCAAAACTCTTCTCAACAAAGTAAAAAACATCAGATAATGGGGGGGGGGGGTGTCTATTTCTTCTCCTTGGAGACACTCCTCCTGCACCCTTCGTCTGACTCAGTGCAGCTGCAGCGGCTGCCCTCCAGGCCTGACTGGGACTGGGACTTCCCTTCACCATCATCCTAAGACTCTCCTTCACCTTTCCTCTGAGGGAACCCCTGTCCTTGGATCTCCTGGCTCTCTTTCTTGATTCATTCCCTTGTTCTGACAGTGCACATCTCCCATTAGCCGCCTCAACAGAGTGCCTAGAATGTAATTCTTCTGAAAATCTGTGTGTCTTAAAATGTCTTGATTGGTAGCCTGCCTGGGTATGCAATTCTAGGTAGGAAATAATTTTCCTTACAATTTCAAAACAATTACTCCAATAGTCTCCTAGTTTCTAATGTGGCTGTAAAGCAGTCTGATGCTACTCTGGTTACTAATCCTTTTCACATTATTTTTTCCTCTCTGAAAGCTTTTAGGATCCTGTATTCATCTCTGGAATCCTGAAATTAATAGACTATGCTTAGGGATGAGTCTTTTCATTCATTGCTAGGACACTCAGTGAACTCTCTCAGTCATAACTCATTTCCTTTAATTCTGGGAAATTCCTTTACCACTTACAGCTTCTCATCTTCTGACTCCCCCACATAGGCAAGGAACTACTCACAGCTCCCAGTACCTGCTGACCTCTCTCACATCTCCATACCTTTGCACGGGGTACTGTCTCTGCTTCAAATGCCTCTCTCTGCTCAGCACACTCCTGTCCCCGACCACCTCCTTTGAGCCTCAAGAGCAGAGTTAAATTCTCTTTCTTCTGTGCCACAGCACCTTTCTTTACCCACTCATCTTTCCCACTTACTTCCTATCAGACTATAAACTCCAAAAAGGCAAAACTCATTTCTATTTACATCCGGATCTTCAGCACCTAGTACATAGCCAGGCACATTGCACCTTTTCCATTCAAAAATATTTGTTGGATGAATGAAGAAATAAATGAATAAATAGTATCTGGCTATTCTTCCATTATACATTTTGCAGCTGGAAAGAGTCCAATCAGATTAAGTAAAATCCGAGACTTGTAGTTTTTACAAGTGCCCCCAGAGGATTCTGAAGCAAATCCTGATTTGGAAACTGTTGCCTAGGCTTCTTCGGAGACTGAGGAGAACAAGTCTGGGACTTCCAGGAGTGGGCGTCTCTGAGTCCAACGGAAGAGGAAAAAGAAGACAAGGAAGGGGAGGAAAAGGAAGAAGAAGAGGAAGAGGAATAGGAGGAAAAGGAGGGAAATCTTTTCCCAAAAAAAGGTAGAAATGGGAACCAGGATGAGATAGTATGAATAAATCTGGGGGCTGGCCTCAGGGCCGAGTGGTTGAGTTTGTGCACTCCACTTCATTGGCTCAGGGTTCACCAGTTCGGATCCTGGGTGTGGACCCACACACTGCTCATCAAGCCATGCTGTGGCAGCTTCCCACATAGAAGAACTAGAATGACTTACAACTAGGATATACAACTATGTACTGGGGCTTTGGGGAGGAGGAAAAAAAATATGAGTGTATATATATATATACACACACATATATATATGAATAAATCTAAACCCTCCGATGCAGAGCAAGTCCAGGGAATACGGACAGCTGAGGCAAGATCAGTCACATCTGAAACTGCCCTAAGGGCGCCAGAGGAAGGCTGACCTCTGAGAAGCAGAATTCTCCAGGATCTTCGTCCCTTGAGATGAGGCAACTAGTCACATTCTTCCCAGAATCACTGTTACTCACTTTGTGATACATCCTGCCATTTGGAAACTGGCTATGTATGAATGGAACTATGTAATTACTTGAATGTTTTATTGAGACCATAAAAAATTAAGTCCCGTCTGATTACCACACAGACTAACAATTCTAGGGTGTACAAGTACAGGTTCTAACTCCAGCAAGCTTGGCAAAGCATCATGGACTTAGCTGACAAACCAGATTGAGATTCCCCCTGCCATCTACACGAGTGTCAGACCATACAGATTTCCTTTTCTCCTTCAGCTTTCTCTCCTTTAATTTAAAAATCATTATTCTAAGAGGATCAACTTACGATCAGAAGAATGGAAAATATCAGTTGCTGATTAATCATACTAGAGCATTCCGGAGGAGACTGGTACCTGATCAAATTATGTTCTAATTTTTCAGACGTGTTCTCCAGTGAATACACCAGAACTTAACATGAGTCCTCTATATAAATATATTTACATAGCAAACCCAATCAAACGATGTTTTCATCCCACCATGTTAAAATAATTACTTTTACACAAGAAAGGCAATTTTTCTCCATGCAACAATTCCCAGTCTTAATTTTGTAACATTCTAACTTTTGTTTCATAAACTCTTCAAAGCTGTCTTAAATATTAATGGTAACTATCTGCCACACAGCACTGAAGGGCAGGCTAGAGCAGTGCTATCACAAAAATCAAAGCAGAACAAGGAGCCACAACTCTGAAAATGTTGAAAATCACTAAATTGGTGGTTGAATCCAATCATTTGAGTACTTGAGTAGTAAGCTAATTTTTTTTAATTTAGTTAATAGTTAACAATTCCTTTTAAAGTTTAATTTCCTTAAATATACATATATATATTTAGCACCATCAGCTAATTATCAAAAATGAAACCATATGGAGGTAGAAAACTATAAAGGGAGTATTACTTTACTTCTTAAAGTTTTCAGCCTTCTAGTCCAAAAAAATGGACTTTTGTCCTGAATTAAAAACAACAACAAAACAAAAAAGACCCTGTTAACGTTCTAACAT